CAGTGTCCAGCACCAGGCCTAGGAGTCCCGGTGACGCAGTGGGTTACGAGTTGGGCTGCAAACCACAAGGTCAGCAGTTTGGAACCACCAGCTGCTCAGGAGAAAGATGAGGCTTTCCACTCCCATGAAGAGTTAGTCTCGGAAACCCACAGGGGCTGTTCTAGCTTGTCTTTATAAGTGTGCTGTGAGTCGGAATCGGCCCCATGGCAGTGAGCATGGTGTTTTTTGAGCACCAGGCCTGGCCTCTTGTGGGTGCTCTGTAAATACAGACTGGCTCGTTCCTCGTGCCAATGTGATTGGCCCCACCCACTCCTTCGTGGAGCCGGTTCTCTTGCTGCTCCTGGTTCTGCAGCTAATCCGGTATGTGGCCTTGAACCAGTTCCTTCCTGAACCTCAGTTCCCACATCTGTTAAGTGGGTTGGTCATGTTTAACGGACGTTCCAGGCACTGAACTGAAGGTTTGACATGCATCACATCCTCAGTCTTTGCTGCAGCTCTACCAGGAAGCCAAATAGTAACATCCCATTTACAGGGGAAGACTGGGGCTCCGAGAGCCTGAGAGCCACGCCTGGAGGTCATAGGGACGGCCGCTCACGCTGTGTGCGAGGCAAGCTGGTACCTGCAGCCCCTCTCAGGCTTTGATGCACATGCATGCCACCACGAGAACCAGGGAGCTGTCTCTGCGCCTGCCTCCAGGGAGCTCTGGAGCCATAGATCAGCGCCCAACTTGGGTCCCCTCACCTGGCTCCCATATGGAGACAGCGTACTCTCCAAAAAGACCCTTGTCCCCCTGACCCTTTGCCTCCAGGGTCCCTGAGAGGGACCAGAACGCTTTCAGGTGGGGCTGGGCTAGAGAGTGACTCTCAGCTCACGAGCAGTGACCACGGCGTTACTGCGGTGTTCCCAGCAGTGCTGCGTTGCCCAGGCATCTCCACAGCGGCTAGAGCATCTCATTCATTACCCTCAGCCCCTTGGCTAGGGCTCCATGAGGGGCACTGGCTGGGGTCCCACCTTCTCTCCCAACCCCCACTGGGGCTCCCCTGTGGACTCAGGAGCTGCACCTCTCATGGGGTCTGGGCTCTGCCTAGCTGCGCGATTGGGGCAAGCGACTAGCCCTGTCTGAGCCTCTTGTTCCTCAACTGTAAATGTGGCTGATGACAGGATTGGTTGTCAGGATTAAACGAGTTGATAGATAAAAATGCTGAACCAGGAACCCCAAACCAACAAACAAACTCACTGCCGTTGAGTCAGTGCTGACTCAGAGCGACCCTATAGGACAGGGTAGAACTGCCCCTGTGAGTTTCCAAGACTGTAACTCTTTATAGGAGCGGAAAGCCTGGTCTTTCTCCTGCGGAGCTGGCTGGTGGTTTTGAACTGCTGACCTTGGCAGTTAGTGGCCCAACGAGTACACTGCCACCGGGCCCAGGCTGGTAGTAAAGACTGCATTAGGGAATGCGACAATCACAACGCCCGCTAGTAGACTGAATGGTGGTGAGACTCCTGAGCATCTGGGAGCAGAAAGGCCAATTTGGACATCAAGAAGCAAACTAGTGCTTCTACCAAGACCAGCTGTCCCTTCTGAGACTGGCCAGTCCCCGCCTCATGGGAGTCTGAGTCTCCTTATCTGTAAACCGGGGTATAACAACTGTTTGCTCCATCTCCTGAGGGACGCCCAGACGCCTGGGGAGAGGCGCCACCGAAATGCAGCGCTGACGGGTGGCAGCAGGTCAGCGCGCCGTGGTCCAGCCCTCGGGTCCACAGGCTCCCATGGGCCCAGCCATGCATTCGAGCACCAGAGCTTCTGCATGGCTGGGCAGGGAGACGTGTGGGGAGGAGAAGGCTGTGTGGACCCAACCCCAGGCCCATTTGAGGATAGCCACTGCAGGAGCTGCTGTGTGTGGCCCCCGGACCAGGACCTCTTTAAAGAGAACTTAGAAGTTCTGCATTTTACATAAAATCTCCTGATTTTAAAATCTTGATAACTAATCCCAAATTAAAAAAAAACAAAATCCATACTGGCTGGTGCGGGAGTGCACATCTGTATTCTGTTTGGGTCTCCAGGGTCCTTGCTGAGGGGTGAGAGGCAGGGCAGGGCAGGGTGGGGTGCCCGATTGACTGCAGAGGGGTCTTGGAGGACAAGTCAGTGTCCCAGGGGCACGGGGAGGCATTCCAGGCCATGGGAACTTCATTGGCAGCCTGGGGTGAGGCGGGACCACATTAGTTTGGTGTCTGGCTGGGCGAGGCCAGGCTCAGGCCGGAGTATAGAGCAACTGGTGGTGTTGATGTCCACAGGGACTTGATGTCAGCAAAGAGGCGGGGGTTGGGGGGGGTTGCGGGGTGGGTAGGGAGCTTGGGTGGTCTCAGTTCCAGGGCGATTAAAAGCCCCTCAGTTCTCTGCCCCAGGGGCTCTGGCATGCAGGTGAGGAGGAGGGTCTGGCAGCAGTGGGCAGTGCTGGGGGCCCCTTGCCAGCAAGCTGGGTGGTCAGCACTTTGTTTACACAGCAGCTGCTGGTGCCTTCCTGGGGACAGGGACGACGTGGCCCACCCCTCTGATCCCTCTGCCCTTTCTCTGGTCCATGTTTTTTCATTTTATTGCGTCATTTGTTTTACTTTGTTGTTGTTGAGCGTTTACAAGGAATGAAATGGAATGAAAAGTTCATGGGGGTTTCCCACGGACGCGGTGAAGCCCAGAAACCCCGCAGGAAGCAGCCCCAGCCCCAGCTCCTCTGTGCTCGCTGGCATTGGTGACGCCCTTCCAGCTGTGCAACTGTCCTCCCCCCTCGACATAAGCTCACCACCCCCCGAGTGGTAGGTGGTTCCCACTCACCCAGAGGGGCTCCTGGAAGAAAGCCTGGTACGAAAACCCGGCCACTGCAGCCCGGGGGAGAGCGTCTCTCCCACAATGAGGTCACTGGGATTCACGGAAGGTGGCTGGTTTGCGTCTGATACCTAAGCAGGTGGCTCTTAGGCAGCACCCCTGTGGGCCACGCACAACTCTGGGTCTGCCTTGCAAAGTGCGGAAGATGGTCCTATAGGAGAAATTCTGTCCCTGGCCCAAGATTGGGCAGACTGCGTGGCGGCGCGTGGGCTTGAACCCAGGTTGTCAGGCCACAGTCTGCAGTGTAACCATTAGGCTCCGTAGTGGTTGAGTGCCGTGGCGACCCCGTGCACAACGGAGGGCAACACTGCCTCACAGCCGTCCGTCCCCCTGCCGGAGCCCGTGACTGCAGCTGTGGTGTCAGTCCGACTCTACCAAGCACGATGCCCTTCTCCAGGGACTGGTCTCTCCTGGACAACGTGCCCAAATCCCCAAGACAAAGTCTGCCCATCCTCGCCTCTAGGGAGCGCTGGCTGGGCTTCTTCCAGGGCAGCTCCCTCCGCTGGTCCTTTGAGCATCCGTGCTACTTTCAGTGCCCTTTGGGCCCGTGGATGTGCTTGTTGGGGCGGAGGAGGCAGGGCCTGGACTTCTGGAAGCGGTTGCTGCACTTCCCAGCATCTGTGCATATTTTCTTAAGGGAGCGCATTGCCAGATTCCCGTAGCGGTCCACGACCCCCAATGCCTGGGAGCCTCTGCCGGCTGCTTCATTAAAAAGCTGTTACTGCCCTGGGGACCACAGCCCTGCGGGAGGGGAGGTGCTGGCCTGCTGTGCTCTGGGCATCTCTTTCGTGGGGCCCTGTGGCTGCAGTGGGCAGGACACCCTCAGGGACTTCCCACCTCCCACCCACAGCGCTGCTGTCCTGGTCCCAAGCTAAGGGTAGGGCTTGGGCGTGGACACAGGCAGAGGGCTGCCCTCATCTGCGGAAAAAGGGACGAGAATTCACCCTCTGCGTACACAGGACCTCAAGCTCAGCCAGAATGGCAGCAAGCCCCCACAGAGCTTGTGTGCACCCAAATCTCCCTCCTTGGGGCCAGCCCTCCCAATCTGGCCAGCCCAGAAAGTCCACCCCCATCTCCTCCCCTCCCCACGGCTTCCCTGGTCACCCTTCGTTGTAGGTGCTCATTTGCTTGGCTGCTGGGCTCACCCGGGGACTGGCACCAAACAGGAGCCGGGTGGTGGTGTATAGGCGGTGAGCCCGCCCCAGCGAGCATCTGGCCCAGCCCTTTTAACAGGCAGGAGGCCCAGAGAGGGGCAGGCGGTGCCCAGGGCCACACAGCATGCCCCACAGAGCCTAGGACCAGGCCCTCACGCCCAGTGCCTAGACCAGACCTCTCTCTTTTCTTTTTCTTTTTAAAAGTTAATCATTTTATTAGGGGGCCTCTTCCAAATCTTACGTCATTTGTGTTCAGCGTGCTTGTACATACGTTGCCGTCAACAGTTTAGACCAGCCCGCTTCATGTTTCTGCAAGTGTCCGTCTTCAGCGAGCCGCCGCCGCCTGGGATCCCATCGTCTCAGCATTATCATTCCCAAAGGCAGCCCCCAAGGCAGCCGTGTGCTCCTGTGAGCTGCACTGGGGCTGGGAGGCTGGGGGGGGGGAGGGGAGGGGTTCTCGGGGAGACATCTGTGACCCCCTCTGGTAGAGTCCTGGGTGAGCCCCACCCACGCTCAGTGGCCATGCTGAGCGGGCTTGGGCATGGCTTGTGCTTGGGTGGGATTTCACAGATGTCCGTCCCCCCACCCCCCTGGCCCTGGCCCCGGCCCCCAGCTTTCAGAAAGCTGCTGCTTGGCATTCTCACTCCCTGTGCTTCGCCTCAGGACACATGGTGCTGTTTGGGGAGAGAACACGGGGACCTTCATGTGCTGTGTGTGGGTGTGGGGGCCCGCCTTAGCTCTCTCCAGGGAGCTGGGTAGGGTGGCCTGCCCTTGGGGAGCCAGAGTCCAGACCTCCTGGGTGGACTGAGGTTCCCAGCAAGGGGGGTGCCTGCCATTGCTCCTTGGGTTTGGTCACACCCACACACCCTGCACTGTGCCTGGCGGGGGCCCCTGGGGCCTCCCCCCCCCCCACAACGGATGAAGGACTCCTGGCTGCACTAGGGACACATACTGACAGCTGCTGTTTCTTGAGCATCTCTTGTGCCCCACTCTTGAGACGGACTTACTCGGTGACCCTTGGCCACAGTTTTACACTACAGGGTGACAGTGTTACAGAGAAGGTCACTGAGGCCAGGGGATGTTCAGTGACTCAACCAGGGCCTCCCCGGGCAGCTGAGGCAGCACCTGCACAGCCCTGGGTTTGACTCCTCCCAGCTGCTGCTCCTGAGCCTGTCCCTGGCCCACCAGCTGACAGCTGACTGACAGACAGACGGGGCCTGACCGTGTGGACTCACTTTGTCCATCCTATGTCTGGATTTGTCTCAGCTTCGTTCTGGGCTCGGGGATGGCAAGGCGGCGGCTGCTGCTGTCAGGTGTGCTAGGGTTGGCTGGGCCTCCTAGTAACCTGTGTGCAACAGAAGCAAACACCGCCCACCCCGCGTCACCCCCTCTGCTCTGACTGCACCCGTCCATCCTGTGCAAAGGGGCCCTTTGTCCCCGACCCTGGACTTGACAGAGGGCCATGTTCTTCCCTCCTGATAGCATGGCCACATAAGAATAATAGAGAGCAGCCACCATTTATTGAAGGGAGTGCTGGTGGGGCTGTCGGGCAAGTGTTGGACTGCTGCTGACTGCAAGGTTGGCGGTTCAAAACCCCCAGCAGCCACTTGAGGGAGAGAGATGCGCCCCCTGCTCCCTGAAAGACTTACAGCCTTGGGAAGAGTGGCTGTGAGTTAAATCCACTCGGCAGGGGGTGGTATGGGGGTGGTGTGTGTGTGTGTGTGTGTGTGTGTGTATACACACCATTTACTGATACCGTGTGCTAGACATGGCTGTAGTGGCTGATTCTCATTATGCCTAGTATGCTCTTAATCTCTCAACCTTTTGAGATGAGCACTGTTGTTAGCCCCTTTCACAAGTGCGGAAACAGGCTGGCAATGATGAAGGGGCTGGCTTCAAATCCTGCCGCCAATAGGCTGGGCAGTGGTAGTACTCGAATCTGGGGCTGCCAAGGTCAGGTCCTGCATGACCTCCGTCTGCTAACCCAGAGACCCGGCTGCTTCCTCTGACCCTGTCCTGTTCTCCACACAGCTCAGCCCTGAGGCCCCCACCGAGTGAGCGGCATGCGGGCCCCCCAGGCCAGCCCAGCACCCTGCAGCCTGCTGCCCAGCCCTCCCAGGAGGCCCTGACACCCTGGGGCGCTTCCACGCTGTGCAGGACCACGCGGGGGGTTGCCATGGTGACATAAAGGGGTGCAGCGGAAGGAAGGAGCGCAACCAGCCTGCGGACTGCGCCCCTGGCTGGGGGGAGGCACGGGCCCGGTCTTCCCCGCCCCCCGCCCCCC